ACTTTGCCACCTCACTATTTTAACCCTTTTTCCAGATCACTTATGAATACGTTGAACAGCACAAGTGCCAGTACAGATCCTTGGGGGACCCCACTACTTACCTCTCTCCACTGTCAAAACTCATCATTTATTCCTATCCTGTGTTTACTATCTTTTAACCAGTTACTGATCCATGAGAGGACCTTTCCTCTTATCCCATAGCTACCTATATTTACTTAAGAGCCTTTGAAGGACCTTGTAAAAGGCTTTCTGAAAGTCCAAGTACACTATATCCACTGGATCACCCTTATTAACATGTTTGAACCTCCTCTCAAAGAATTCTAATAAATTGGTGGGGCATGATTTTCCTTTACAAAAGTCATAGAAGATTAGGGTTGGAAGAGACCTGAGGAGGTCAACTCATCCAACCCCCTGCTCAAAGCAGGACCAACACCAACTAAATCATCCCCAACATACTGATACTTCTGTTCTTTACTGTAGTTTCAACCAATTTGCCTGGTACAAGCCAGTAAGCCTAACTTTAGTAATTGTCTGGATCACCTCTGTAACTATTTGTTTTATTTTTTGAATTGGCACTACATTAGCTATGTGCCAGTCAACTGGTGCAGAGGCTGATTTAAATGATAGTTTACATACCACAGTTAGTAGTTTTGCATTGTCATATTGGAGTTCCTTCAGGATTCTTGGGTGAATACCATCTGGTCCTGATGACATTACTGTTTAACTTATCAATTTGTTCCAAAAGCTCCTCTAAGGAGACCTCAATCTGGGACAGTTCCTCAGCTCTGTCACCTAAAAATAATGGCTCTCGTGTAGAAATATCCCTCACTTCCTCTGTAGTGAAGTCCAATGCCAAGTATTCATTTAGCTTCTCTGTAATGGCCTTATCTTCCTTGAGTGCTCTGTTAGCACCTCAATAGTGCAGTGGCTCCATTGATTGATTGGCAGACTTCCTGCTTCCGATGTACTCGAAAGAGAAAACAAAATTTGCTATTTAATTTTTGTCTTTTCTCGTTGTTCTTCACATTTGTTTTCTGACCTGCTTAGCTATACTTTGTATATATTAATATTGTAGGCTATTTAAAATTAATAATTTCTTCCACTACTTTTCCTTACCTCTTTCCAGATCCCTCCCTGACAGTTAGAGCAGATATTACCGGAAGATACTCAAACCGTCTCTATGCATATGAGCCTTCAGATATTTCATTGTGTAAGTATTCTATTTCCTAACAGAAGCTTGCACATACATTTAGAACAGATGATGTCTTCTCAAAAAGCAGTGAGAAATGCTAGGCCTGTTTTGCTTAATATTGGTTGAAACATGATTAAATTGCCAGACCTAATTACATTCTTCATGACCTCTTGCTTCTTTAGAGTCCAACTCTGACACCCTTACACTCAGTTGTGCCTTACTGTATGAGTAACTGCAAGGGAAATCTATAGGATCGTTTACAGTATAAAGGTGCCAGAATCAGGCTCATAAAAACTAAAGCTCGTTTTTTGATAGTTTATATATAAAATGGGTCAAGACAGCAGCTTTGACAACAAGAAATTAAATGTAAAGGGACGTTAAACTAAAATTTTCACATCATTGATCCTGAGAGACCAGCAGTATGGTTCTAGGGCATTAAAATCCACCGGTTTGGAAGGAAGATAATGCATTTTTGTAAGAAGTTGCGTAATTCATTGGCACTCACTTTGCATGATAGATGGAACACTGGTGCTCTAAGAGCCTTTGGGGGCAACAGGATAAGAATCCTATTAACGGGAGTTATTAGTACCTTGCAGTAGAAAATGAACCGTGTGTGAGATCCCTCACAGTTCCAGAGCAATTAAATTGTGTGGAATGACTGGACTCCCCTGCTTCCCCCCCCCCCCAACCTTTTGGAAAGTATATTAGTAGGGTAGCTTCTGCAGAAACTGTAACTTAAAACATGGTCAGGACTGTTTCCAAGTCTTGGACGAGACTGTAAAATGTATGATGGATGAAGAGTTAGTACAACAAGGGAGCTTGTGACAAAAGGTCTCCTTTAGTAGTAACAACACTTTCCCTAAAGTAATTTGTCACTGGCAGTATAACTGCACAAATCTAACAGTTCTCAATGTTTCATTTCTAGTGTATTCAAATATGCAGAAAGCTCTGAAACTGCTGAAGACTGAATTATAAGGCAGGGAAAAAACCCATATACAGCCAAGATGTCTGATCTTCCCTCTCTGCTCTATTCACTGGCATCAGTGAAGACTTTTTAGGTTGATTTTAGAAATGCATAGTACTGGTTTATATGCATAACTAACTGGTTTTTTGTTAACACTTTTTTGTACTGGATGGGATTTTAAGTACTGGTTGCTTTTAAAAAAAGTATACAGTGTTCTGTATGCTTCAACTGTAAAGCATGATTTTTTTAAAAAATAAATACATTTTAAGATTTCTACAGCGTATGTTGTCTTATTTTATGGGGCCTTACTCAACAATGTATTCAAATAGTCATCCAACATTAACAAAAGAAGGCTACTTCGTTATAAGAGGCTGCAAAAGAGGTTATAGCTTCCCCACGGTAACATCCAAATACTAAAACAGATTATGACTTGAAAGCCAGGGAGGCTTCTTCATCTCTACAGTTTTAACAGCCATCTAAGGTTCCTACACTCAAAAGGAGCCTGAGGAATATTTCCTCGCTTAAACATTAATTTTCTTTAAAACTTTTTTTTTTAAGTGTACTGCAAGGATAGGAAAGAACAGCAGCTTGCAATACTGATTTGACCACCCCTCTCAAATTCTAAGGAAGTTATAGTAAAATGTCTAAGATAGTAAGAGAAACAGTTGCTTGATATTATTTGCAATAGCTTCATAGTACATTTAGTTCATAATACTAACCCAGAAGTTAATTCCAGATCTATTACTTAAAATTAAAAAATAGTATAAGAAATTATACTTAATGCTGAACATGAAAATTATTTACCTGTCTTCAGAAATTTTATATTGACTCTTTTTACATGTTTAGTAAGAGGAACACAAGTCTAACACTTGGGGCCTCTGTCAGTACAACTATGAATTCTAGTTGTTATAAAAATTCTTGTTTCATGGAACCCCTGTATGTATCCATCATTGCTGACAAGATTTCAAGTGTATATCTCCCAGACTATGTACAACAGAGACATGTTACTCTTAACAACTGTACTTTGACCAAACAATAAGTACGCTAAGGGTATTGCTTGGAGCTGGGAGATGCCATCTCCTTCAGCTTCCCATAAGGGGCTGGTATTTGGGGAGTGGAAAATTACCAGCAGGAGAACAAAGGAAGCAGGTGCTATTGGAGGAGCATATACAACTAGAGGGATTCACTGGGACAGGAAACTTTGGGTAGGAGAGAGGAAGGGCACTGATCAGCCAAAGTCTGAGGTTTCAGAAGACAAGTCATGCACTGCAGCAAACTGACCCTGAATAGCCACAGAGACCTCTGACTCAAGCCCAAAGAATGTGCTGGAATGTTGAGGAAACCAAGGCAGGGAAAAGTATGTAAGTTTTTTTGTTTGTTTTGTAAATGGACATGTATTTCTCATACAATTAAGTAAAGAGCAATAGTGGTTTAGAATCCTATGCAAAGTCTGTGCTGCTACACCTCTCATGTGCCTTTCAAGAGCTTAACTGGAGGACCCACCACACCCAGAGTTCTGGGAGAATGTATGGTTAAGCTACAGGGGAGGAAGACTGAGGGATCAGTAGTGGACAAAGGGACTAGATATTGGACTGCAAGGTCTCAGGAGGTAGTTCTAGAGAGATATCTGCACTGCAGTGAGAGCCAAGAAGCTCCAAGAAGGGCAGTGTGTGGACTCTGTCAGACTATAGGAAGCATAAAGCACATGGAAGCCAATTGTTAAATCCCCTCACAGCAGTCTAGCGACTGGCCTGAGAGGGCACACCCCTGGAACTGTGGCAGCACCTGCACAAGCCCTGAAAGCAAAATATCCAGTGACAATACCCGAGTCCCATACTTCTGACATGGGCAGTACCACAGTATCTACCATATTACTCTTGACTCTACAATAGAAAACCTTAACTCCCACCTCAGCAACACAGCAGCTGTGCACCAGTGAGCTGTAGGATACATTTTCCTATAGGAAGTGTGAGTGATGACTTTGTACACACTGAAGGGGTCTGGGATTTTAGTTATAGGGGAGGAAGAGATGAGTAACTGATATGGGCAGGTGGAGCCATGTTAAGGTGATTCTAGAGCTGGCCAGCTTTTGTTTTTAGGGAACACAAACTCCCCCCCCCCCTTAAAGCAACCATAACAGTTTCTTTGCACATTTGACTTTGTTCTTAGTGGTTAAAAGCTTTATGACCAAAGAAGGAACCTGATTTACAAGGAACTCAATGCTCCAAGTTGGATGCAGTCTAGAGCTGATATGCTGCTCATCTTATCTACAGAAGGGCAAATAGGACCACAAAAGAATCCCTACTCACTTAACCATCTCAGGTAATAGATACTGCTTCCAAATATCTTTCTAAAACTCACAGCAGGAGGTACTACTGCTGAAAGCTTGCAAGTAGATCTGAGGGTGGGTGGCACTACTTCAGGACACTATTGGTCCCAACTGCTGTAAATGGACAGTTGAGACACAGTAGACAAGAGCTGCAGAAATTACAGAACCTGAACCACCCAAAAAAAAAAAAATCAATCTTCTGCTGTTGGCATCTGACTGAGACGATGAAAATTAACATGCATCAGTCTGCATTGCTCTGGATTGTTATTGAGCAGAACCCATTTGTCAGCATGGACACACATCCTCTGGAATGGTGGCTGAAGCATGAAGGGACATATGACTCTTTAGCACATCTGGCACATAAATACCTTGTGACACTATCTACCACAGTGCCATCCAAATGCCTGTTCTCACTTTCAGGTGACATTGTAAACAAAAAGCCAGCAGCATTATCTCCTGCATATGTAAACAAACTTGACTGAATAAAATGTAGGACAGAGTGGACTTGTAGGTGCTGAAGTTTTACATTGTTTTATTTTTGAATGCAGTTTTTTTGGTAAATAATTCTACATTTGTAAATTCAACTTTGTGATAAAGTTACTTTACTACATTACTTGTATTAGGTGAATTGAAATACTAATTTTTTTATAGTGCAAATATTTGTAATCCAATATAAATAAAGTGAGCACTGTACACTTTGATTCTGTTGTAACTGAAATCAATATATTTGAAAATGTAGAAAACATCCAAAAATATTTAAATAAATGGTATTCTATTATTTAACAGCACAATTAATCATGCAATTAATCACAATTAATATTTTAGTTGTGATAGCCCTCACTTTCAGACTTTCCTCCACACCCACCAGAAATAGAAACTTTTTTTTAATATAATGAAGAGATTCTCTTGTAATTACAGGAGCTTCAATAAAAAATATAAACCTACACACAAAAATAAACCACCACCAAATATCATAAAGTCTCATGATTTGACAAATTGCTAGTCTCTCAGCAAACCTACATTACATGGTTTCAGCCACCACATTTATGGAAGGCTACAATGAACAGCAAGCAACATTACTTAAAGCACGACCATGAAGAAAGAATTTTAAAAAACAGAATCACAAATGGGAGCAACTACAATATTTTATTGTAACCTTCACATTCCCAGCATTCCTCTCATTTATTACTAGCTAGGTTCTTGCTAAAATACAGAGTCTGGATACATCAGCTATGACTCTCCTCTGAAGTGGGGTAAAATATGGTTGTGCTCCTAGCGTAGCTAAGCCAAAAACAGTTTAGTACCAGCTTAAAGAGAGCATGCTGCCAACCATTTTCCTTGTGTAAACGGACCCTCAGATTGTGAGTGCTTCTTGACAGTATCCTATTAACTTACAATGCTGCTTTTGCATAATGGGACTCCCAAAGCTGCTCATTTCCACCTTGTTACTGGAGTGCTCTATAAAAAGAGAGGTTTGTCTCCAAGTATGCGCATGCACACCCTGAGCTAACAGATCAAGTGTCAGACAGCACTCAAGTATATGTAGCATGGTGCTGGGGTTTGTAGAATGAATAAAAAACTTGTGTACTGCAAATAACTACTTCTCTGCAGCTCTGTACATGAAGTTCTTAATGCTTCTCCCTTCTGTCCCATCTCAAATCTCCACCTAGATGTCCTTATGCAATCTCAGTTTAGAAAGAAACTGAACATACAGATGCCTATATGGGTCCTATCACCTCTGTACCTGAGCACCTGCTTACCATACTAAATTCAGTTATCTCCTATTTAGTGAAGGCCCTTCAACATCCCACCCCAACCTACATTACACTTGTTTCCCTCATACTCTCCAACCTGTGCTGCCTGCGCTCTTCTGTAGCTGCTCTCCTAGATATTGTTTCTGGGCATCTTCCCAGTTTTTCAAGTTGAGTGTCATACAAGGAGAAGAGACGGAATTTCAGCCAAGATGGGCAGCTCCATTGAAATCCTTCACTGAAGACAGGACAACATTTAACCATAATTCAGAGAAAAGAGTGCATGTTAAAAACCACCATGCACCTTAAAGATTAGGCCTTCTGATCATCCAGTGTAGTGTATCACGGTCTATAAAGGTATCTATTTTAGCATATGAACAACTTGGTCAAGGACAGCGATTTCTTCTGAAGTTTTAGAAAGCATTCAAGTACAAGCACTTTTTTTTTTAAATTATTTTTAAACTACCAAAAATGCCACAATGATATTTTTACAATTACATTTGAAATCAAGTATTTTAAATAGATACTGAAGGATGAAGATGGGTCAGGTTTGACAATGAATGTCAGTATCACACTTTCATAAGTTACTACAACAATGAATTTAAACTACCTGTAAAAATAGTTTTATAAGAAATCTTTGAACATCAATCAAAATTTGTTACACTAACAAAATGGATCATTCCCAGTTCCGATATTGTCTTAGTACCACAGTTCATTCGCCTATTGCTTTTTTAAAGTAAAGTACTTCTAAAATTAGTTTCAATAGGTTAATTTTAATGGGTTTTCCTCACTCATTATTATTCTCAATTGCTTAGATACAAAGATAAAAAAAATGTTTTTATTCTCTTTAAATGCAATTCTAAAGATGTCAAAACTAAACCCTACAGAAGTCAGTTAACATATGTTTATATCCATGATCTAAAATGGTATCTTGAATTTATCTAAAAGAAAAGAAACACAATAAAGGGTTGATAAGCTTAAATATTTCAGATGTTCTCTATGGTGTTTTTTAACCCACACAGCAGAATGGGAAACAGTGATTCAACAGAAAAAAAAATTTACTGTATTTCACCCTACGGGCATTCAACATACAGATGCATCATTTTAAAGAGAAAGCATGTTTTTTTTGTAAAAACAACAAAAAACACACAAGAAAGTGTTAATGTCAGAATATATGTTGGTTGTATTTTTTTGTTGTTCGGTTGGGGTTTAAAAAACAAACAAACAAAAAAAAATACACTCAGAAAGGCAATACATTCTGGTGCCATAAAACTAACTTGAAACAGTAGACTGCAGCAATTGTTGTGATCTAACAGTTAACTATCATCTCAGAAGTGTTTACATTGCATTCAGCTACAGAATAGATATATCTATTTCCAGATAGAGAACCCAGAGGTGAAGATGGGAAACCAAAGATGACAAGCACAAACATCTCCATGTAGGAAAATTGTTTTCTTTCAGATCCTTAGCGTGCAGAAGTGCTAATTGCTAGAGAATTCATATTTTAACTGGAAAAGACATTCAGTCCTTGAGAAATTTTCCAATCAAAGAAACGCACTAGGGTTTGCACGAGAATCTTTTTGGTTCCTGTATCTATAAGTCAGCCAAACTCCCAAAATCTGCAAAAGAAGAAGATAGACACTTAGCAGTGCTTTTATCTCCCCACTCCACGCATCTGGTTTAAAGAACAGAATATTTTCCATCGTGCCTGGATACATAAAATTTGCAAATGCAAGTTCAGGACGTGCTTGCACTGGTACTTAAGTCACAAGAAAACCCCACAAGTTCCCTTGTTACTAGTGGGAGGACATATCCTGGGAGAGATTTCATTCTAGCAACAAGGAGAAAAACCTGCATATCCAATGTGTGGGGTGTTGGCATATACTTCCCTATGACCACACCAATATCTACAATTATTGCTTAATCATTTATCTACAGTATTAACAATGTAACTGGAAAGGTGTGGCTACCATACGCACTGAAGATTAGAGACTTGGGAAACCACCAGTGCTGAAGACCACATGCCTCTTGTTAGTTTCTGTTCGCTATCCACTCTGCTTGAGTTGCTAGTCAGAAAAGCTAGACGATGTTGAATAATAGTGTTAGAGATTTCTGTAGTAAAGAATTATGCTAATGTGCACTCACCTCAGTGAAACTGAAGAAGAGTCCTATGCCACCTACAAATCTCAGTACCATTCCTGAATATTCTTCTATTATAGGTGCACATGTTAAACATCGGTTATCTTTAACGCAAGCCTGTAACAGAAGAAATTACAGCTTTTAGATTATTAAAAAAAAATGTAGCACAAACATGTGAAGCTAGCCAGAGGCACCTAGTCTTTAGATGGCATAGTTTTGCCCAAGACTGGCATTTTTAATAAACTGGACTGTAAATAATACATGACTCCTATGTCATGCTTTTTAATCAGAAGATCTCAAAGTGTTTAAATGAGGTAAGTACCATAAATGAATTGATACAATTTCTGTCTTGTGTATTTGATAATGATTTTTCAAACTACACAGTATTCCTGTAAATGTGATGATATACTTAAGCTGCTAAGCAATGGCAATATGGTTGCAAACTTCTCTAGAAAAGAATACTTAACAAAAGTTATATCTCAGTGATCTACTTACAGCAGAGCAGGTTTCACTTGAATTGAAGTTTCTGAAACCACAACAGTCTAGATTCCTCTCAATATCTTCTCTAGCACTCTTTGTGTTGTTCCATCCAACCTCAAGAAGTTGTCTCTACAAGACACAAAGTTAACACATGCATCATTTAATAAATGCTACCCTTGTTTTTTGTATTTCATTGGTGTCCATGTAGTATGCATGATACTCACAGACACAGCCCCTGTCCTGATGTATTTACAGTCTAAAACAAGCAATATACATATGTCATGAATATAATGTACAAATAGCCCAAATAGCTAAAGCAAGAAAAATATCCAGTATAAGGTTCACAGTCCGTATGGATTATCTCCACACTTTTTCAGATCTGCAGCTGTACCACCAGCAAAGTGGCAACATGAATTTGAATAGGCAGCAGGTTTAAAACAAACAAAAGGAAGTACTTTTTCACACAATGCACAGCCAACCTGTGGAATGTCTTGCCAGAAGATGTTGTGAAGGCCAAAGATTATAACAGGGTTCAAAAAAGAACTAGATAAGTTTGTGGAGGATAGGTGCATCAATGGCTATTAGCCAGGATGAGCACGGATGGTGTCCCTAGCCTCCGTTTGCCAGAAGCTGGGAATGGGCAACAGGCGATGGATCACTCGATGATTACTGTTCTGATCATTCCCTCTGGGGAACCTGGCATGGGCCACTGTCAGAAGACAGGGCTAGATCTGGTTGGTCTGACCAAATTGGCCATTCTTATGTTCAGATCTCTCATTAACCAGATTTTAGTGAAATACTGGTTTTATTGTGACCAACGCCATGCATGGCTGATCATCTAGTTGCCATGCTCTTATTTGCTCCCTGCTGCTGATGGGTCATTGAATTGTGTCAGATACTAATGCTAAAAGTTAAGAGGCACTAACTGAAGATGCTCCATAAAATCCAACAGTAAAACAGTAAATTTTATGGGCAAGTTTGCTGGAGCTGGGACCTAGCACAGATCCTGCTGTGGAGGAACAAGAGTAAGTTAGTCAGAAGCTGTAGTAACCGCAGCATCAAGCTGCTCAGTTGCACTGAGTTGGCTGGTGGCCCCAGGGAAGTTCCAGAAGACTGGAAGAAAGCTAATGTTTTGCCAGTTTTTAAGGAGGCTGAACAGTATGACAAGGTAATTAAAGGTATGTCAGCCTAACATCAATCCCACACAAGATAATGGAACAGCTGATACAGGACTCTAGCATTAATTATATTACTTTCCTTTAGTTCTTTATTAATAATCAACATGGGTTTATGGCAAATAGATCCTGTCAAACTAACCTGATATTTTTTTTGATATTACAAATTTGGATAAAGGTTATAGTGTTGATGTAATATACTTAGATGTGACATTTTGATTAACATGGCACATATGAAATGGATTAAAAACAGGCTAACAGAGGTCTCAAAATATAACTGAACAGTGAATTGCCATGAAGTGAGTTCTTTTCCAATAACGTCCTGCAGGGAGCCATTCTTGGCCCTACACTACTTAACAGTTTTATCAATGACCTGGAGGAAAAAAAACAAAACAACAAAAAAAAACCCCAAAACACAAAAATCATCACTGAAAGTTTTCAGATGACACTAACATTGGGGCAATGGTAAATAATGACGAGGACAGATTACTGTTTCAGAGTGATCTAGATCACTTGGCAAACTGGGCACAAGCAACAAATATTTTAATATGGCTAAATGTAAATGCATATATATGGGAACAAACAATGTAGGCCATACTTACAGGATGGGGGACTCTATCCTGAGAAAAAAGAAAAGGAGTACTTGTTGCACCTTAGAGACTAACCAATTTATTTGAGCATAAGCTTTCTCGATGAAGTGAGCTGTAGCTCATGAAAGCTTATGCTCAAATAAATTGGTTAGTCTCTAAGGTGCCACAAGTACTCCTTTTCTTTTTGCAAATACAGACTAACACGGATGTTATTCTGAAACCTATCCTGAGAAAGTGACTCTGAAAGAGATTTGGGGGTTGTGGTAGACAAGATGAACCCAGTGTGATGCTCCCAGTGTGATGCTGTGGCCAAAAGTGCTAATGTGATCTTGGGATACATAAATGGAGGAACTTCAAATAGGATTCTCGTGCAAACCCTATATTTGGCACTGGTGTGACTGCTGCTGGAATATTGTGACCCGTTCTGGTGCCCACAATTCAAGAAGGATGTTGATAAATTAGACAGGGTTCAGAGAAAAGCCACTAGAACGATTAAAGGATTTGAAAACATGCCTTATAGCGATGGACTGAAGAAGCTCAATCTATTTAGCTTAACAAAGAGAAGGCTAAGGGGTGTCTTATTACAGTCTATAAGTACCTACATGGAGAACAAATATTTAATAATGGGCTCTTCAATCTAGCAGACAAAGGTATAACACAATCCAATGGCTGGAAGTTGAAGCTACACAAATTCAGACTAGAAATAAGGTACATTTTTAACAGTGAGAGTAATTAACCTTTGGAGCAATTTACCAAGGGTTGTGGTGGATTCTCCATCACTGAATTTTTAAATGATGACTGGATGTTTTTCTAAAAGAGATGCTCTAGGAATTATTTTGGGGAAGTTTATGGCCTATGCTAAACAGGAGGTCAAACTAGAGGATCACAGTGGTCCCTTCTGGCCTTCGAATCTATGAATTAAAGATTAAAAGCTTTCAGAAAGGGTGGGTGCAAAGGTGAGGAAGAGGAAAAGGGAGCACCTTTCCTACTTCCACCTCACACAGAGCCATCAATTAAAGCCCTGCCACATACCCCCCTTCTCCCATGACAGCTGTCCCAGTTTTTTTCCCCCACATTAAGAGGTGTGATCACTGTCATCAGTAGCTCCAGCACAAACTATGCTTGATAACATCTTATCCATGGATGTGTAAACCTCACTAGGTTACAAAGCTGGGCTATAGAAGTGAAGCTGAATAAAGGAGGTAACCTTTAATAAATGGTACAGATTTGTGAAGTCTAACAGTTCAAACAGGATATAAACTTAAAACAAAACAAAACAAAAAAGACTGGCTCTTAGAGGCAGACTGCGGGCCCAGAGGACGGGGCTGGTTCCACGTGCCAGTGTATTACTAGATAGTCACTAAGCAGGGGGGTCAATGATCTGACTTGTGGATAGAGGGAGGAGATACACCTTAAATCAAATAGAGTTTACATGCTTAATAGACTGGATTGAATATACCTATAATATCCATAGTTTCTGGATTATTCAATTTATTATATGGAAATGTTTTTTTTATGCGTAAGTAATTCAGTGTTAATCTAAATTTAAGATAACAGCAAAGGAAACTACTGAGTATTAGTTCAGCTTGCTCCAAATTGCTGAACTTCACATCACATAACTGACATACTTGAGAACAGAAATGTAACCAGAAAGTCTAAAAGTAGTAAAGTCAAAATATAAACCACTGAAAAGGAACACTGAACTGCATCAATGACCTCCTAGGAACCTGACACCCAGCACCGATTTTGCAGCAGTCCTTAGCTTAATAAAGGATGTGAAAAAGGTCCCCATCATCCTTTATAGAGACATATAAGCAATATACTATGCATACTACAGTTTGATCAAGTTGTCAAGGCAGCAGTACATAGCTCAAATCTACCTACAAAACACATCATTTTTGTTCAACTGAAAATTCAGAAGAAATTTCTTACCTGCTGATCTTTGTTCAATGCCAAACAAGCACAGGAGACAGAAAACTGGACAATGAACACTAGCAAGAGAATAATCATGTACTGAAGAAACAGTTAAGGTTACATTTTCAAAGGAATTTTAGGTAAGCAAAGCACATGCTTAACAGTTACATGCAGAGTCAAGTATGTACATAAATGGTGCTTAAGAATATAAAAGCTATTGAGCATCTAAATGGGAGGGCTTGGCCATCTTTTGGAATGTATAAGTAAGCTATAAGGAATAAGTAAGAGCTCAACCAGACAATGCTTTATGATACAAGTTTAAAAAAAAAATCTAGTTGCAATGCTTTGTATTTGTTTTCTATAAGTCACATGATTTTAAAGATCTAATGAAAATTCTTTATTTCCCACATATTAAAATTTTAAAAGGACTGGATCTGGGACTCTGATTCAAATACCCAATTAAAATTTTATTTTGATATTTCCTGCAACTACACAAGCTACATAAGGTTCATTCTTGCTCTACTTTAAGGCATTACCAGAACAGCCTCTTTGTGATGGAATAGCCGCCTCATACTTGACAGACACTTGTCTTCCTCAATGACTCTTTAGACCACAATATTTCCCAATGCAGAGCAGATTTTACAATTAAAGGAGACTAAGTTCCAAACAAGTCTGTTTCTAAGTCAGATATTCCTTTTAACTGCAGGAGAGCCCATAGGACTTAGTTTAAACGCTTAATATTTACTAGAGCAAAGCTGTAACCACGGAAATAGAATAAATGGTGATCCTCAGGAAATATCTTTCTTGTATCAAGCATCTCCTGTATGTGTGTTCAAGTGTTTTTGGTGGTTTGATTACATCCAGGCCTGTACACAGCTGGGGAAAAAAGAAAAAAAAAAAAGAGCTAAACTCAATTGTAAAAGTGACTTTGCAGCAAAACATGGCCATGTAGTAGTGTCACCTGGGCTTCCATACCTTTTATTCGTGTGCTGCACCAGAACATGTACGTTTTCCAAGGGTTTCCTACAGGCATCTGCAGCACAGAAGCAATAGAACTTTACTGTAGCTGCAGCAGTGCCCATAAGCCCAAAAGCCTGGAATATTTGTGTCCTCTAGAATAGATGCAGTCTGCCATATATCCATTAAGAATTGGCTAAGATACAGAAGCAACCTCCTTCCCCCCCCCCCCCCTTTGTCCTTCTCTCCTCATCCAGCTACAGATAGGTATGGGACTAAGCTAGACTGAATACATTTTAACTTTGCAAGGAATGCTCAGGTCCCAGCTGCCCAGAAGATCATGTGAACCCATAATTATGTCTGTTTTTAAAACCCACCTGTGTGGGCTAGCCACCACACAGCAATCTCTCTTGCTTGCCACACTTATACATAACGTGGAACTCATAACTGTAATATAAAGCACTAACTAATCAGGCAACTGCTCTATTTATAGGATATACAGCCTCCCGAGGGATCTTCTTGCATCCTGCATGTGCCATGCCTTTTCCTTTAAAAAAGGAAGGATTGGGGAAGAATGAGTGCAGGACAAAAAAAAAAAAAATCTTACCATCTCTGAAAAATTGTGTTTATTTTGATAAGGTAAAAGCTAACTGTGGAGACTAGTCTGTATGGAGTCACCACCGCAATGGAAAAACAGTAGATAAATGCTTTTCTTAGTGGTTTGAACAGATGTGCAAAAGCAGAGCTGTAAAAGGCTGAAGATCCACTGCATAATCTACGGTCCTTTATGTACTAAGGAGCGACTCCTAGAGGTTGTCTAAGGAAAAATATTCAAAATTGATAAAAAAAAGATATGTTTGGAGAGAAAACAGTGAGCTCTAACTCTGCTGCAATACACTGGACAGAATGGAAAAATATTTAGCCAGAACAGGGAATGTTCATTTGCCTTTTAATGCCTATTTAATCTATTTATTTGTATTAAAGCAACAGTCAGGAACCTGACTAGAGAATCAGGACCCCGTCATGCTAGGTGCTTTACAGACAAAACAAAGAAAAGAATCCCTGCCCCAGAGAACATTTATCTGCTGACCTTGTTAACAAGACTGCAAATTTAGATCAGCAATAAATTTTGTGATGCAGAGGACCATCTGCAATCATTTTGATCAGACAGCTGACCTAAAAGTGGGAAGTTCCATACTCCCATTGCTAATCCCAGATTCAAAGTTAGCAAGGGTTTAAATGACAGATTTTCTGCGTACAAAGTAGTTAATTTTCCAGGCAGTCTTAGTGGGTAGGCAGCACCCTTTGTTCAAACATTCTTTTTCCTTAAGTGACTCAGAGTCTCACCTTATTACAGAAGGTAACCTGAACCTGCATAAAACTTACACAGGAGACAATACAGGGTCTTTCTTCTCTTGTTTTCTTAAATCTGTTTTTTAAAATGAATCATACTGAAAGGGAAAAAAAACCCTTATTTTTAAATATTGAAGAGGCAAGTTTTGAAAATTTGTATTTAGTTTCCTGTCGTTCATTGACAGATTGTATACTTCTGGAAATTGAACTATTGTTTTAGCAAAATTAAAAAAGTCACTTTATTTTTCATTAGTGGACTGCACCCAGAAATCAAAGTTGGAGCTGATGAAGCTTTACCCCGCATCCAAACCCCAGAACGAAAGCTAAATACGATTATCATGATTTAATCATGGAGGGCATCACCATAAACTATTTACATAGTGCCAATAGAGCACGTTGTCAATACAGCATTAGACAAAGTCCATGCTGGGACCCCCAAGAGCCTCTCGGTGCCATCTGGCAAAGGGTTCACTGATCCGTAACAGCAACTGCTATCAGGCCTGACAAACTCACTACACTCAACACACTGCTTTCATAGTACACATCCAAAGAGGATCAAGTGCAGTATCTAATAAAAGTGTATGTCCTACTGATCATCTTTGTGAGATGTATGGGTGGGTGATATTTAAGATGTATGTATGTACTGAAATTCTATTTTAGAATCTGTGTCCCACGCAGGTCTGACAAACAGGTTTTGCCAGACAAAGATGTAGCTTCACCTGTCTGCCTTGGTTCACATATAAAGTAAGCATTGTAAGCCAACACAATGGAAGTCGGTCAACACACATCAACACAAAGATGTGAAAGCAACATGGAACCAGCACCCTAGGGCAGTGGTCTCCAAACTGAGCTGCGCGAGATCACCCTAGGGGGTGCACAGCAGCAGCAGTGCTGCCGGGCCACACTCAGCTGTTTTTTCCTTCGGCGGCAGCTCTGCACGTCCATGGCTGGTGTTCCCCTCCAGCGGCGGGTCTTCTTCTGTCGGCAGCACGTCTGCAGCAGGTCACCCTGGGGGTGCGTGAGCCTAGAAGTTTGGAGACCACTGCACTAGAGAATAAATCACAGGGGTCATCCTGACTCTAGGGACAAAAACAGTGGATTTGGGGGTGTAACAAAGCAGCAAGAGGACATGTTTTTTATCCTTCACTGAAGTACCAAAGAGAACAGGTGGATCCTAGTCATACTGATTGGCGAGGCTGAGAGATTGCTTTAGGTGAGTAACTGCTTTAGACAAAGATTCTAGCTTTTTAAAGTTAAGGTTTGACTCTAAGGATCGTGTTATACTTTTTGTTTTATATGTAACCATTTCCGTTTCCACCTGTCAGCCTTACTCACTGTCTTGGGTTGTGGCTTTTGATAATAAAACTTAAGATTGTTTTTACTATAAATATATCTCAGCGATGTGAGGTTATCAAGGATCTGCTCCTGCACTGAACTGTGTGTTCCTTGGGGGACAGGAAATCTGGTAATTTCTGTGGGTGTCAAGTTAGAGGGGCTGGATGCTGCAGGGGGGTGTTTTCAGTGGTGCTTGGATACACCTATTGTTAACCTGCAAAACAGAGTCCTTCAGAGATTGTTTGTGTGGCTAATGGTGTTAGGGAGCTGACACCCAGTTAAGCACAGGCAAGTCTTCCTCTCACTGAGGCAGGAGGGTAACAAGGAGACTGTCAGCCCTGGGCACCCCGAGAAAGTGTCTTACATGCTCAATTCTAATTCAGGCTGACAAAGGACTAGATGTGAATGAAAGCAAATGAAATAGGTGTAACCCACTTCATAGAGATGCAAAGATCCCATTGGTGCCTGAGAAATATCTTAATTTCCCTATAATAAATTCAGGGGAACCAGTTACACCAGGGCTGTCATCTGACTCCACTACAACACATTTGAGTTTACTTTAACCTAGAGTTAGAACTGTGTTATAATTAGGTCAGGGGACAAACATGCAGTAAAAGTCTCCTGTGACTGTTATAGATGTAATGTAGATGAGTCCTTGACAGAAATAACATTCTCATCATACAAATAAAAAGGAAGCAAGAGGTTTTTAAAACAAAAACACCACACACCTACAGTGGATGAAGGGACGCATTATGGAGAACTAATTTTGGGCACAAACTGGGAAGGAGTGTTGGGGCACCTTTTTGTTCTGTGTTTGTATAGCACCGAGCACAATAGGGTTCTGGTCCACAACTAGGGATTACTCTAACACACACACACACACACACACACTACAACTTGTGTTTGTAAATTTCCAATCAAAGGATACAAAGAAGAGTAACACCTGATGGTGTTTGACTGCACCGATCAATCCAACCAAAGCAATAAGGAACAGAAAGATCCCCACTGCAATTGCCACGCCAACCACTCGGAAACTAGAAATGAGGCCGAAGCCTATACCCCATGCTGCAATTCCAATCAGCAGCAGGCTGACCAGCTAGAAGGGAGGGAGGGGGAGAGAGAGAGAGAGAACAAACAAACGACAATTAGTATCTAAACAAAAAATAGTAGAGCTTGCTAGTACTCCTAGCACTAATGTTTCTTGAAATTAAAAGAGGATACTTCCCCTCCCTACCACTGAAAAAACTAAAGTCCAAAATATGAAGTTAACAATTTAAAAATTAGCTCCTGTAGAGTTCTCTTGTTCATAATGTGCAAGTGTACATTTACCTTTCAATATTGTGAATGTGAGGTCTGTTCCAACACATTCCATCCTGAGTTTAAGACCAATGTCTCATACCAGAGACACCAATATAACCATGGGTATTATAATAGAGTTGAGCATGCATCTGAAACAAGGATTAACAGCTTTATACCACAGATTGAGAAATAAATTAGAGTTCCAAATACCTTGTGAGAAATACAAGGTCTATTTAAAAAAAACAGGATATACTTGGCTCGGTTGCTACGTGAACAAGTTGGAAAAAAATACCCTACTTTCTAGACATATAGTCCAATCAGCACTACATCAGTGTTAATCTTCAACATTTTCTGAATTGTTGATGTTGGGACAATACACATTTACAGAGATCAAATGCAAAGATGCGGTTTGCAGTATTTGACATGCTACTCTGACAGCAAAACAAACAGTCAGGAGTCTTGTCCTCACTGAATGTGCCTTTGGGAAGACAGCTTTCCTATGAAGCAAAGACTACTCTAATCATCACAGCAAATTCAAAACGCTCTCAGTAAGCCGTTTCCTTCCTTTCAAAGGACGGTATTCTGAAAATGCAGACTATGGTTCAGCTAGTTTACTGGAAATATTGTTTTATGAGCAGGAAGGCCCAGCCTTTCCTGTGTTCAATCTAACACAAAGAAAAGGGTTGGAGCCATGAAAAACTCCAGGATCTCTAGATCTGGGATGGGATATGAAGGAGGGAAGTAGACCACAAATAATCAGAGCCCGGAACAAACTATGAAAGGAGCTGGGGGGAAAAAAAAAAGGGTCTCACGTTTTAAAAAAAGAGATTGAAAACTGGAAGTGTTCTCAGTTTCTAAAACCTGGTCTTGCCGGTAATTCACAGTTTTGTAATTAAGTGCAGCTGTAAGTATTTTGCCTAGTACAACTATTTGATTTTACTCATCACATAAATGCAATCTGAATGCTACATGTGGCTTTCAATTTTCATTTAAACAAATTTACAGCAAGACATCTTCATGCTCCCTCCCTAAACCCAAACAAAAGATTTCCAACTCATCTTCAGTTCCAACATAGTTACCCAGGGCCATTTTTAAAGGTATGTATTCAGAAGTCCCACTATGGAAGTTCAAAAAAAAAAAATCACATAGGCCCCGAAATACCATTTTTGACATATATAAATCCATTATGCCACTAAGGGCTTGTCTACAGGGGGCATAAGGGAAAATTAATCCAAACTAATTAAGGTATGAATTTGAAATGGATTAGTTAAACTGCCTTAAATTCCTGTATTAACACCCTCATTGAGAATTAAAATGGCCTTCATTCAGTTTAGTTTAATTCACTTCCAAAATGAATTAAGAAAAGCCAAATTAAGGCCACTTTAACTCTGAAAAACAGCGTCCACATGGGGATTTAATGCTGTTTAACTAATCTGGTGTCTTGGATTTTTACTTTTACTGAACTAGGCTTAGGATAAAACTAGGTAAGCAAGACTCTGAATGACACTGTCAAACTGCCCAGTATCTCTCAAGGCCTTTTTCTGTGGAGGTAGGAAATTTGTTTTGTATTGATTTTCATAAAGAAAGACAATAAAAAGTTCAAAAAGGTAAAGATACACCTTGCATAAGTCTCTGAATATCACATGCTTCATGGGATCTCCAAAACAATTATGCAATTTTCTAATAGGTCTAAGCTGCAAGACCAGACAATGTTACATAGACTGTTGGGGGTGGGGGATATCAGTAATAAACTAGGAAAAGACATACATGAGTAGGGAAAGGAGGGAGGAACAGGATGGGGGGAGGGAGGAAGGGAGGGAAAAAGAGGGGGTATTAGGTGGAATAGAGGTCTGGCATTCTGTAAGCCATCAACATTTTTTTAATCCAAGTTTATCTAGAAACAGGGTCCAAATTTCTTTGAAATCATAATTTAAAGCAACCTGTAAGAGAATTTGCCAATTTAGTAATATTACTTGTACAAAGGATGAAAACCCAGCTGTACTGAAGTCAATGGAAGTTTTGCCACTGACTTCAGTGGAGCCAGGATTTATTACAAGATATGCTACCTCACTAGTAATATGCAGCAGGTAATTCTCAAGCTATACATCAAATAATGAGAGAAGAAAATGAAATATAATGTACTCAACTTTGGAACAAATTCAATCAGGAAGGATCATTTACTATACAGCATATCTGGTTGGGTCATAAGAGGAAGCCACTGTTCTCCTCAATTTAAAACGTTCAACTGTGAGTATATTCTTCAAGTACCATCAAATGTTTCTTTACTTTTGATGGCAGTGTATTAAGATACACACTATCACAAATACCCAAACAATTAAAAAATATAGTATAGAGTAAGTGGGTCTATTTTTAGTTTATTTCCATTTGGAGTAACTGCAAGGAACCACAGACTGTGACTGTAGTAATAAGTACAAGTGGAATGTGATAAACTCCAGTTTACTCAAGTGGGCAGCATTCATACGTAAGCAGAAACTTTCCAGAATGAAGGATAGCTTGTGGCACTCCTCTTAGAACAGGCTAGTGCAATCAGGCTCTCATTCTCCCCTACTCAAATCCTTGGTGTCTCTGAAGAGAGCAAACAAAGATGCCTTAGGAAAGTCTGGTGGTGATGATTAAGGCTACAGTTTGGTCAAGGAAATTGTGGAATCCGTGACTTCAGCCCGCAGCAGCTGGGAGCTGGTAGTCCCACCTCCCATGGTGGCCGGGAGCTGGGGGTCCCCCTACAGCTCCCCAGCCAACACGGGCTGTGGAGGGGAAGGGCAGGGGCAAATCTCTTAGAGCTCCCCAGCTGCCACGGGCAGAGGTCCCTACCAGCTCCCAGCCTCGGGGAAGGGGCCACAGCTCCCAGGCACAGCAGGATGCTCGACCCTCCTACCTCCCTGTTTTGTCATGGACATTTTTAGTAAAAGTCTGGGACAGGTCATGGCTTCCGTGAATTTTTGTTAATTGCCCATGACCTGTCCGTGACTTTTACTATAAAAGTCCATGACAAAAATTGTAGCCTTAGTGATGATTGCTTGTTCAACTAAAAACTGGACAGAGACTAAATGCATTTCAGAAACATTTATCAGATGACAACTTTCAGTCATTAACAACCTATACTGCTGCAGCTGCATGGTCTCCTGTGTAGCTGCTCTACACTGGCAGGAGAGAGCTCTTCTGCCGCCATAATCAAACCACACTCAATAAGCCTGTCTGTCTGTTGTCTGTCGCCAACATAACGCTGTCTGCACTGGGGTGTGTGTGTGTGTGTTCGTTCCCCCCACCAGCCCAGAACTGAAGCATGTAACTTGCCTTCATGGGGCCCTGGATAATTGCCCTGCTTGTCAGCACCGAATGCCAGCCCTGCACTTGCGACCCCCCTAAACCTATCCTGCAACCCCCCAGGTTGAGAAACGCTGATCTAGGTGAGTTGAGTACACGCTGGAAGGCATGTTGAGTACTGCCAGGGGTATGCGTACCCCTAGTTGAGAACCACTGCTATAGATATATCAAATGTCTATTAGAAAATGTAAGGAGCCTGGAATGTGTTTTCTGTTCCTCTGCATTTAATCTGAGATCTCAAATTCATAGGCCACTCTTGCATCATATGGAAATTAAGGCTAAATGAATTCAGTTCTTTAGCTAGCTGTGATTAAAACTCCTATCAGCCCCTGCCTACCTCCTTCCTCCTGCACAGCTAAGGGGAAACGGTCCTGCCTGCCTCCTGAACCAGGAACTGGCTGAATTATGTTTGGAAGCAGCAGCAATTGAGAAGCTGAAGCAGTAATCAGATGACAAGAAGGGAGCTGGAGTAGAAGTGAACTTGGAGAAGGAACCACTTGTGCATGGAACAGACGGACACTGCCAGACATTACAGATTGTCGGTCCGTGTGGGCCTTATAGGGGAGCAGCAGCTGAGCAGGGAACCAGTGCAGAGGTGCCCAAATGAAAGTATGGCCTGGAAACCTGCAAGCACCTATCGGCTTGGAACAGAGACTGGACTGGAAAGGGCACCCTGGACACTAGGCCTGGAGAGCCCTAACTCTTGAGTGGACTGCTCGAGGGACCCAAACAAGAATCGCTTTTGCTCACTTTGAACTGTAACTTCTTAAGCCTTTGTACTAAAGATATCTGCTACCTCTTTTTCCTGCCAGTCCTAGCTAAACGCCTTTTCCCTTGGCCCAGTAACCACTCAGACACATGGCTAGCACCCACAAGACCTACACCTGAAGCACCTACAGCAGTGGTCCCTAGACTTTTGAGGGCAGTGCCCCCCCTTCCCCCTGTCCACAACCCCCCCTTCCCTCTCCCCCCCCCCGAGCTGGGAGCAGCTGGGGTGGGGGGGGGGGGAGGGGAGAGAAGATGTAGCCAGGGTAAGGGGGCTAGGGCCGGAAGTGGGGCCAGTATCCGAGCCGCAGCCAGGGGCAGGATCGGAGTCGCAACTGGGATGTGATGGGGGCTGGCAGCCGGGGCTGTGTGCAGCTCCACTCCGAGGCTAGCCCCAGCCCCAGGCAGAACAAGCAGTGTCACAGTCATGCTCCCAGCCGGGTGCAGAGCCGTACCGAGCCGGGGCCATACCGAGCCGGGGCCGGGGCTGGGGCCGGGGGCCGAATCAGAGCTCGGGGGGAGGAGGGGCTGGGTGGCACTCTTCCCCCATGGGGCTGCCCTGAACCCACTGTGCCCCCCAAAGGCCCCACCCTACCTTCATAGGGGGGGGCACGTCCCACACTTTGGGGTCCTCTGACCTACAGTATGTACCTTCAAGTGACAGCACACCTGGCATGCTACTGGCAC